TTTTTTTTTTTTTTTTGCCTGGCACTAATCAGTGATGTGAGGCCCTTCTGCAACCTTACAGTAATAAATCAACCAGCTCTCATAAAGGCAGAAGCAGGGACTTTGCTGATGAACAGTTCTGAGGACTCAGTTCATGTACTATAGTTGATTCATGTTCCAAGAGCGGAATTTCTATTAACTCATTTTAAAAGGGAATAAAACAGGCTTTCCACCCACATTCAGTTCTAGTGCTGCTAGGAAAGATCTGTCCTCTTTTCAGTAACAATCACAAGCAGACAGTGTGGAGAAAGAGTATAAAACGGGAACATTCATAAAAATACACAATATTCAATATACGTTACAGATCTAATTAAATAATAACCAGAAAATGAACTGTTCTGTGGATGCCTTTACATTGGACTCAAATGAAATTAATTCTAGAAATAATATTCCATTTAGATGAATTACAGAGAAGCATTATTTTACCAAAGAAGATCTGGAAGGGTCCAACTTATTATTTTTATAAATACCCTCAGGGTATAGTATATACATAAAGATTCCATCAATGTTAAAACAAACAAACAAACAAAAACTGACTGCCATCAAGTTGATTCCGACTCATAGTGACCCCCACTGGGTTTCCAAGGTGGTGAATCTTTATGGAAGTAGACTGCCTCATCTAATGTCAGGTGAGCATTAAAAACTAATAAACTGAACTGAACCACCTCAAGCAAGCTAGAAAACCAAAAGTGAAAAAACAGCAGTAGTAATATTCAGTGACTCTTTTCATTCCTCAAAAACTTGATTTAAAATCTAGTCCTGGAGTTATTGTTCCTAACACCAGCCAGCATCAGCTTAAAGTTGTTGTTTGGTGCCGCAGAGTCACTTCCAACTCAAAGCAACCCTGTGTACAACAGAATGAAATACTGCCCAGTCCTGCACCACATGCATAACCATTGCAATGTGTTAGCCCATTCCTGCAGCCACTGTGTCGATTCATCTGGTTGAGGGGCTTCCTTATTCACTGACCCTCTACTTTACCAATCATGATGTGCTTCTCCAGAGACTGGTCCCTCCTAAGAACATGAAATGAAGTCTCTTCATCCTCATTTCTAAGAAGCATTCTGGCTGTACGTTTTCCAACAGCATCAGCTTAGTTATCTCACATATATAATAAAGGATGAGGCCTTCTCTAAGAATATTTGGCATATAATTCATAGGTATGTTGGAAAGTAAAACATGTCCGTTAATCCTCACATTAGGAGCAAGAATGATCACTTCCAAATAATAAATTCAAGTAAATTATTACAGTAGAACAAAAAAAATAAATAGATAAAATGTAACATGCTCATTATTTCAGAAGGAAGGTTGGGCAATCTACTTCTGTGGTGATACCACCTCAGCAACCCAAGGAAGGGTCGCTATGAGTTGGACCTGACTTGACGGCAGTGAATTTGGTTTCTTTTGGTTTACGTTCAATATTTACACTTTAAGGGCACATGACTATTACATATTTACAGAGAAAAGTGCTGTCTAAAAGAACAAAAAGAAATGTTTAAAGTTGAATCTCTTAAAAGAACTTTATGTCTTAAGACTTCATGAGCATTATCTTAGCACCTACAGTCCTTCTTTACATATTTGAAGGAATCACAATAAAACGTCACTGAGATTTTTTATTTTGACTTTGTAGGTGTGTGTTTAATAATCTTTCAGTTCACTGGAAAGGCAGCAGGAGGGAGGGAGGTAGGATTTAATGTGAAGCAAGCCCAGAACAGTTAATACGGGGCCAGAGAGCAGTTCCAAAATACCAGCATTAACTGTGGATCATTAATCTACCACAAATTAATGGATTTTTAATTAACATAATTCTCCAACTCAAACCATTTGGCCTTATCATGACATTGAACCTTCTGGTTTAACGACAACAACAGCAGAATTGTTTGATTTGTCTATCCTTATAGGGAGCTCTGGTGGCGTAGTACGTAAGGCATCTGACTGTAACCAGAAGGCTGGTGGTTCAAACCCACCAGCCTCTCCTCAGAAGGAAGATTGAGCAATCTACTCCTGTAGTGATACTGCCTTGGAAATCCAAGGAGGGGTCACTGAGTCGGATTCGATTCAATGGCTATGAGTTCAGTTTTTGTCGGTTTTATCCTTATAAGGCAGGGCTGTGAGTTATATTCCAGGGTTTGCATATATTTGAAAAAGTGTTTACTGGAGAAACTAAAAACTGGGTCATCCTTTGTGTATCTCCATATTATTTGTAAGTTTTATGGATCCCTACTATCCCATCCTAGGGACCACTGTCATAAAACACGAAACAACATTCTCAAAGTCTGGAAGATGCAATAATTCAGAAATCTGGAAGTGTATTCTAATTAATTAGTTCAACACATTGATATGACTCACAAATATCCTGGCAACATAACCTTCCCAATAAAAACCTGTACTTTTAACCAGGGGAAGGGGCAAGAGTGGGAGTGGATGGGGAGCTGCCAGTTCTGCCACTGGGTAGAACACTGGAAAGGTTCATTGTCAAAGTCCCTTCTTGTGAGTCAATGGGAAATACGTAATTTTCTTCCAGTTACATTATGTTTGTTTGTAACAATAATTTTAAAATTTTGGGAAACTGGAATTCTAAGAAAATAATATTGAAGTTATTGTTCCACAATTTATTAGTACTGACCTTTGAAGTTAAATGTGCCCCTGTGTTCCTTTTTCTCTCCAAAGAAACAAGAATAACTTCCCATTTGGTTGCTATTAATGACCGAAAACCTGAAGATAATTCAAATTATTCATTTAGGCTTAATTCTCAAAAAAACTTCTTAATGAAAATGAAAAGATTTATCCATTAATCAAAAATTTAAAAACACAGGATACAATTCTGTAAATACGTAATCAGAACAGTAGCACAATATTCAAGTGAAAGCCAAGTCAGCACAAAGAATTATTAATAAACTAATTTCTGCTAGCAAAACAGGTTATAATTTTTATACTCACTTGTATTGGGTATATAGGATGTTTCCCGTTGCATTGATGAGGGAATTATTCTCAAGTAGTTTGTCATCTTTCTTCCAAGTCACATTTACTGAACTCAAATCCCCAGATGTTATGAATTGGCATGTGAGCTCTATATTAGAAGGCTTTTCTAAAGTGATATTTTTTTCTACTGGTGCACTGGAATGTTCTATTAGCCACAAAAGAAAAAAATTATGTGAGTTATATACCATGGAAAAGCCAATATATAAAATACAGCTTAAATTATCAACATAACTGCTCTATCAACAGTTTCTTAATGTAACATTCATTTGCTTGAATAATTTGTCCTCTGCCAACATAGATTTGGTTCCTTCCTTACTCTCTCTCATAGGCAATACTAAGCAAAGAATTGTTACCAATTAACAAAATCACAAAGGTGTAATCCTGTGATCTCACCTCCTTTTAAAGCTCTTTAGCTGAAAGGAACACAGGGGAAAGAGTACCAAGTGTACCATCTGCTCTGAGTGTTAAAAAAGCTCAATAGTAAAAATAAACAAAAACCAGTAGGACAGAATGTGATGGTTGTTATCATTGTTTTCAGTAACCATAATTGGTTATTGAATATTTACAAGAACATTTTGTGGGTAGTGTGTGTTTATGTGCTACACAAATTCTATTATTCCTAGTTTTCTTGTACCTTAATAACCTACAGGGGTTGGGTGAAGATATAGACTTAAGACAGAGAATTTAATTAAACATTCTGTAGTTTTGAATTTTAACTGAATTTGAAACAGTACAAAATGAAATGTTTTAGTTCCCCCACGAAAAACAAAAAATTTTTTATGTGCATGTATACATACATATGCATGTATGTGTTTTGGTTACTTATTGCTACTCTGACAGGAATATACTACAATTGGCATGGCTTTAACAAACAGAAGTTTATTCTCTTAGTTTGTGAGGCTAGAAGTCCGAGTTCAAAAGGGCAGGCTCTAGGGACTCTGTGAAAGCCCCTCAACCTCTTGATTCCGGCCCACTAGAGCTGGAGGCATCTCTTCACCCAGGGAGCTGATGGCTGCTGAGGCTGACAAACCCAAGGTCGACAAGTACGCTGGCACAGTCCCAATATTACTAAACAGCATGGCAGGCCACTAATGCAAGTCCAGAAAAAGTCCCAAGATCGACAGGGCATGGCAGGCTGCTTAACAACGACTTGGCTACATCCAGATTTCAAGCATGCCAAAAAGCCAGAGAACTTCCTCAAAGTTGTTTCTTATGTACTGGAAGCAGACTATATCCCTAAACTAGCTACTCAGCTACTCCAGTAGATTCCACCATGGAGTGGATTACCAATCTCATCATGGGGAATAACTGCATCCAGCTGCCCAGCCACTCAAAACCAGGCCCAAACAAGTTGACACACAATCTTAACTACCACAGTATGCATATGTGTGTGTGTATACACACATGCTTACATGTATATGTAAATATATACATACATATATATGTATATATAAATACACACACATATTTACATATACCATTCATGGAGGATACATGGCCAACTTTTTTTTTTGAAATAGTGATAATTAAAGGAAAAGAATCAAGCATGGTCTCTTTCCTTCCTAGTCCAAATATACCACTGGCTAACCAAATAATAGAGGAGGAAGTTTCTTTTTAAAGAAGAATTCTAGCAAATAAATGAAGGCAAAATCATAAAAACAGAATATACTATTTCATCCCTTAATAGATCTCTGGACATAGGCATTTTGCAACAACTGCTGCAAACATCCCAGAAAGAGAATTCTGTGTTTTTAGAAAAAGAGTACACTACCAGCTAGGAAACAGTCTTGTCTAAAGAAAAAGGAGGACAAAGATTAAACTGATTAAGTCTCTAGATTCAACTACTACTTTACAGAAACCACAGAGGATGGAAGGATATGTTAAACTATACTCCAAGGAGTATCTACAAAATCCAGACTGTGGAGAAACTATACAATGACTGATCCAGGTTTCTACATATATATTGGAAAAGGAAACAGGAAAAAAGTATGTTCGGGTAATTTAATGACAGTAAGATTACCATAAAAAGGGCAAAATGAAACTATAATATTTACTGGCAAGTAAAATAATAAAGTTACGATCACAGAAAATGAGAATAACTCTTATTCTTAGGGGAAGAAAAGAGGTTGTGTTATATAAACAAATGTCTACAGATCTTACAGCACATTCAATATTATATGAAAATCAAAATCTATTGTAGTCAAGTCAATTACAACTCATAGTAACCCTGCAGGACCGAGCAGATCTGCCACTGAGGATTTCCAAAGCTGTAATCTTTACAGAAGCAGACTTTAATATATTTCTCCTTCAAAGTGGCTAGTGGGTTTGAACTGTCAACCTTCTGGTTAGCAGCCCAACACTTAACCACTGCACCACCATGGCTCCTATAATAATGCCATAAGCCAAACCAAACCCATTGTCATCAAGTCAATTCACTCCTAGCAACCCTATAGGACTGAGTAGAGCTGTCTCCATAGGGTTTCCATGGCTGTAAATCTTTAAGGAAGCAGAGTGCCTCATCTTTCTCCCACGGAGCTGGTAGGTTTGAACCTTTCATTTAGCAGCCAAATGCTTAACCATGGAGCCACCGGAGTTCCTTAATAATGGCATCAGACAGTTAAAACTATAATGCAGAGCTAACATAAAGATTTTTTTTAAAGTTTTAATTTAAATAAAATATATTTCTTTTAATTATATTTATAACTTTACAAAAATGTTTTCTTAAGCAATGACTAGGTACAAAGTTTGCAAACAGTGAAGTACAGCTTGTGTGAAGTGCTTTGTGAGCACATGCTTGAAATAACGCTTGTGTAATTTAAAAAAAAATTGCTGAATTGAATTTTATGCTCAAAAATAAAAAAAAAGAAATTGAGGTACAAAAAGAGCTTAACAAGACTCAATTACAAAGGGAAAGAAAAGGAGTATGGAAAAATAGAGAGATACACTTCTCAGCATATTTGGTGAACACTTATTATTCTAAGAATGACAGGAATCATACTTGGTACTAGCTATGGGAGAGTATGTTTCAATGCCTAAGGTATTTGTCAGTGAGCTCCTGTCTGTAAATTTTAGTTACCTTCAGAACTGAGGTACCCACCAGCTGCTCCTCAGGAGCATGCTGAGAAAGATGAGGCAGTTTGCTTCCTCAAAGATGTGCAGCCTTGAAAACCTTATATGGCAGTTCCACTCTGTCCTACAGGGTCGCTATGAGTCAGAATCAACTCCATGCCACTGGCTGGGGTAGTGGATTATGATCTGCTTAGCGGAGCAGTTGCGAAGATTTCTGTTTTCTTTATCAGGAGGTATAATCCATATTGAAAGTTGTAGTCTTCAATCTTTATCAGTAAGAGCTTCACATCCTCTTTACTTTCAGCAAGCAATGTTATGTCATAAGCATACTGCAGGCTGTTAATGAGTCTTCTTCCAATCCTGATGTCATATTCTTCTTTATATAGTCCAGCTTCTCTGATACTATCTCAACATACAGTTTGAGTAAGTATGGTGAAAGGATACAACCCTGATGCACACTTTTCCTGATTTTAAACCATGCGGAATCCCCTTATTCTGTATGAATGACTGTCTATGTACAGGTTTTGCATGAATAAAATTAAGTGTTCTTGAATTCCTGTTCTTTGCAATGTTATCTCTCCAAGTCAGCTGGCCAGGCAGCTGGCTTCCAAATTTCTTGGCATACATGAGTGAATGCTTCAGTTGTATCTATTTGTTGAAACATCTTAATTGTTATTCTGTCAATTCTTGGAGACTTGTTTATTACCAATGCCTCTACTGCAATTTGACTTCTTTCCTCAGTCACATGCTACTTCCTGAAATGGTTGAACATTGACCAATTCTTTTTGGTATATGACTCTTGTGTATTCCTTCCATCTTCTTATTATGCTCCCTGCAATGTTAAATTGTTTGCCCATAGGATCCTTCAATATTGCAACTCAAGGCTAGAATTTTTTCTCTAGTCTTTCAGCTAGAGAAATGCCAAGCCTGTTCTTCTTTGGGTTTTCTAACTCCAGTTCTTTGCACATTTCATTATAACACTTAACTGTCTTCTTGAGCTATTCTTTGAGATCATCAGTACAGCAATTTTATATCATTATTTCTTCCACTAACTTTAGTTACTCTACATTTGAGGGCAAGTTTCAAAGTCTGTTCTGACAATCATTTTGGTCATCTCTTTCTTTCCTGTATTTTAAACGCCTTTTTCCTTTCTTCATGTATGACATCCTTGATGTCATCCTGTAACTCTTCTGGCCTTCAGGCATTAGAGTTTAGTGCATTAAATCTATTGTTGATATAGTCTCTAAATTCAATTGGGCATACTTTGGCTTTTATGGATTTGCTTAATTTTTTCCAGCTTCAATTTGAACTTGCATATGAGCAATTTGTGGTCTGTTCTGCAGTCAGACCCTGGCCTTGACTGATCTATTAACCTTTTCTATTCTTTCTTGCCATGGGTATAGTCAATTAGAATCATGTGTTTGCCACGTGGCAAGGACTACATGTATGGAATCACCATTAACATTAGTAAAAAACAGAGACATCTTCTCAAAGTCGAGTCAACCTTAATGTTGTGGATGTTACGAGTAAAGTTTTCTGTATCCCACTACGCTGATGTGGCATGACTCAAATGAGAAAAACCCAGCTGCAAACATTCATTAGTAAGTAGAACAAGGAATGTATGAAGCATAAATCAAGCAAAATTGAAAGTAATCGAAACTCAAATGGAATGCTTAAAGATGATATGCTTGGCATAAGTGAGCTAAAACGGACTGGTATTGACCATTTTTGAATTGGACAATCATAGGTCTACTATGCCAGGAATGACAAATTGAAGAAGATTGGCACTACATTCTTCATCAAAAAGAACATTTCAAGATGTAGTATAATGCTGTCAGTGATAGACAGGTTAATATTCACATGCCTACAAGCAAATCTATTGCAAAAGACTTTCCAACCCTGGAGAAGGATATCATGCTTGGTAAAGCAGAGGAGTAAGTGAGAAAGGGGAAAACCCTCAATAAGATGGATTGACACAGTGACTGCAACAATAGGCTCAAGCACACCAAAGATTGTGAAGATGGTGCCAGACTGGGCAGTGTTTTGTTCTGTTATACATCAGGTGGCTACAAGTCAAAATCGACTCAAGCCACCTAACAACAACAACAAGAAAGACCAGTTAATACTACTACTACTACTCAAATTTATGCATCAGTCACTGATGCCAGTAATGAAGAAATTGAAGATTTTTATCAACTTCTACAGTCTGAAATTGATCAAACCTTCAATCAAGATACATTGATAATTACTGGTGACTAGAATATGGCAAGCAACGATCTGGGAGCTCTGGTAGCATAGTGGCTAAGACACTTGCCTGCTAACCAGATGGCTGGCAGTTCAAACCCACCAGCCACTCCTCGGAAGGAAGGTTGGGCAATCTTACTTCCGTAGTGATACTGCCTCGGAAACCCAAGGAGGGGTCGCTATGAGTCGGGTTTGACTCGTCGGCACGTAACAACAACAACAACAACAACAGAATGTGGCTACTGGAAACAAAGAAGAATCAGTAGTTGGAAATAAGACCTTGGTAATAGAAATGACACTGGAGATTGCATGATAGAATTTTGCAAGATCAATGACTTATTCATTGGAAATCTTAACTCCTAACTCCATTCAAAACTTATCTCTAGGCCCATAGTTCAGGTGCCTATTGAGCATATAACCCTGGATATCTAATTCACAATTAATATATCCAGCAGAGATTCCGTTAGCCTTCATTTCCCTCACCTATAATGCTAAATCTCTTCAGAAGAATTTAGTTTTTCTTCCTCTGATATACTGGTGAAATTTGTCCAGTATTCTTCAACCTCCTTATTATGATGTTGTTATTTGTCGTCAAATAACAGCAATAATGAATGGCTCCAACTCATGGTGACCTTATACAAAACAGAACAAAACTCTGCCCATTCCTGAACCACCTTCATGATCTTCGGTATGCTTGAGTCTACTGCTATGACTACTGTGTAAATACACTCATTGAGGATTTCCCTCATTGTGGCGACCCTTTACTTCACCAAACCTGATGTGCTTTTCTAGCAAGTAGTATTTCCTGATGATGCCTCAAAGGAAGTGAGCCAAAGTCTCACCATCCTTGCTTCTAAGGATGTTGCATTTTCTACAACTTATGTACTTGTTCTTCTAGCAATCCGCAGTCTACTTAGTATTCTCCACCAGCACTACAGTTTGTTTATAAATTCTTTTTCTGTCTTCTTTCAATGTCCAGCTTTTGCATACATATGAAGTGACTAAAAAGCTTTCAATATCTTTTACCAGAGACCTCCTACTGTCTCTTGGCTAAAATTTCCCTTCTTTCACCTACTTTCTATAATGATAATAAAGTTGTCTTTCTAAAGCAAAACTCAGACCATGTAACTTGATTAGGTACTTTTCATCTGCAAAATAAAGCAGTGAATTGGACAAATCTTTTTCCCCATGTGTCAAAACGGGACTTACCTATTTTGTGAAAGTACAGAAAGTATAGAAAGGATTAAATGAGCTATCATAGGAAAAGCACTAGCAACATAAAAGAGATTGCTTGATAAATTCCCATTCCTTCTCTCTCACTATTTATCTTATTGGAGTAATATAATAAAAAAGTTATCACGTATCATGCTAGAGTTATATGTTGATTATGTCATTTAATATTCATAACAGCCCTATTAGGTAAGTATCGTTGTTGCCATCCCTATTTTATAGATGAGGAAGCTGTGGCAAAGAGAGATTGACTATCTTGTCCAAGATCACACATCAAGAAAATGAAAGCATTGAATCTCAAATTCAGGTGTGGCTAAATCCAGATCTTTGTAATCCACAAGACATAGCCACTCTCAAAGATAAGAAATTCTCCTGACAATGGAATTAACTTCTTCATCACTTTCAAACTACCAAACCAAGACTTTAAATGAAAGAAAGTATTAACAGAAGATAACACAAATTTATGTGTAGCAATATAGTGAAGGGATGGTAGATGAATGGCATGACTGGCACATTTTAAACATTCCTTTTACCAAAAAAACAAAAAAAACAACAACAACAACAAAAACCCTTTTTTACATAATTAAAACTGCTACGTAGCCTTTATTTGTAGCAGGCCATCTTCAAGTCCTAATCATCATTTTTCACTGTTTCACGTAATATTCTGCAGGTTCTTCAGCAGCTCTCTTTCTTTACAGTCAGGGAAATCACACCACCACAAATATTTCAAAAGTTCCACCTTTAACATGAAAATATTTTGTGGTTAACCAGCAAACTAATGTAAACCCAAGAGATAATATTGCACAACTGACATGCAAGAAACATCCAAGGAATCCATACTGTGAGAATTGAGAATATAACCACTTGTTAAGTTCCTGAGCTACACTGTTATTTACTTATTTGAACACTTTTTAAAAAATCATATTGTAATTTATATACATCTAAATACTCTTTTAAAGAGATCTGGTACGTAATGGGTAAGGCACTTGACTGCTAACCAGAAGGTCGGTGGTTCAAACCCACCAGCTGCACCACAGAAGGAAATGAGGCAACCTAGTTCTATAAACATTTATAGCCTTAGAAATCCAATGGGAGTCCCTGTGAGTCAGAACTGACTCAATAGCAATGGGTTTGGTTCTTAGGAAGTACATTTTTATTTTCATTAGACTTTAAAACAATGATCTGGACATTGGAAAACAGTAGTATCTGACCTCCTCTAAAATCACAGGGAGAAGGTGGATCCAGAACAGCATTAACAGCCCGAGGCTCATCCTGTGAGGCGGAGGTCAGACCCGCAGCCAACCTCTAACCTTGTACCAACTCTGACATCAATAGTTCCTTCCACACCACTTTCTTCTTCTCTGCTGGGTTCAGTAATTCTTTGCAATGACCACACAGGACTTACAGACAACACTCATAATTATGGGGTTTATTAGGGAAGTAACAAGTTACAATTCAGGATCAGAACTCACTCAGGATACAGTTCTTTGATCAATACAGCCTCTTCTCAACTGTGCTGTAGGCACGCTTCTCTCTGCCTCAGCTTCTTGGCCCTAAAGCCCCTTGGCCTCTGCCCTGCTTGGGCAAGGGCAAGTATTACAAAGCTCTTTTAATTCTGCCAGTAGGTACCCAGAGAGGCACCCCACTCTGCCACCATGGCTCTTGCCTGCAGGCACTTAGCTTTCTCACTCCACGTGCCAGGAAACCCACTGCTCTGCCTTGTTGCCAGTCTCTGCCGGGTCTGCTGCTGCTTCCGGCCGTCTCTCGCCATCTCAGCATGTGTTACAGCTGTCTCCTAAGTCAAGGAAGTTTAGCACAGGGATCTTGGGTCCAAAAGATGTGCCCCACTCCTGGTTCTTCTTTCTTGTTGGTAGTGAGATCCTTTTAAGCCTAGCAGGATGAAAACTGACCAACCCTCCTGTTAGGGTTCCAGGTACCTTATTTGCATGGTCCTACGGCTAAGGACCTTGACTGCTCACCAGAAGGCTGGCGGTTCAAACCCATCAGCCACTCCTCGGAAGGAAGGTTGGGCAATCCTACTTCCGTAGTGATACTGCCTCGGAAACCCAAGGAGGGGTCGCTATGAGTCAGGGCTGACTCGACGGCACATAACAACAACAACAACACATACACAAGCGTGTCAGGTCCCTTACTCACATCCAGTCCCCTTGATGTGCCTAAGGCACTTGACTGCTAACCAGAAGGCTGACGGTTCAAACCCACCAGCCACTCCTCAGAAGGAAGGTTGGGCAATCTACTTCCGTAGTGATACTGCCTTGGAAACCCAAGAAGGGGTCGCTATGAGTCTGGTGTGACTTGACAGCACATAACAACAACAGATGGCTGCTTACAAGGTTTTAACAGCCCAGTTGCTACTCCCCAAAGTAAGATGTAGAACAAGGTTTTGTGTATGTTATGCCAATTGCTTTGATGTTCCCCACAACCATGGTCTCAAGCACACAGGTCCAAAAATTCTCTTCCTCAGGGTGGTTGGCTGTGGCTAAGAAGTTATCGTAACTTTGCCCTGTTAGCTGTATTTTATATATGAGCATTCAGCACTTACACATACATATGTAGGAATATCTGCCAAACTTACATGCGGTCATGGGTATATTCCCTTTTGCCTAGACATACCTGATCATTCAGCCTGTCTACTTATGTATCCACCCATAGATTTATGTTTGTTGTTACGATAATATAGTATTGTGTGTGTGTAAAAGTGCTCATCTTTGTTGTACCTCTTGTGCACCTCTCTATATCTTTCTTCTCCTGAGTGTTATTGTGTTGGTCACTCAAATTTTGGTACATTGCCTTTCCCTTCCCAAAGCAGTATTTGTCTCTGACCTATCCAGCAATTTTACCTCCCCTCCCTTCCCATTGCTGGTAACAAACAAAGTTTCCTTCCATATGTAAACTTTTTTGACTTTTTACAATAGTGGACTAATACATTATTTGTCCTTCTGTGATGGATTTATTTCACTCAGCATAAGTTCATCCTCCATGTTCATCCACATTATGAGGTATCTTATGGATTCTACATTATTTTTTAGTGTTGCATTGTATTCCATTGCGTGTGTGTACCATAGTTTGGTTATCCATTCCTCTGCAGATGGGTACTTAGGTGGCTTCCCTCTCTTTGTTATTTGTAAATAGTGCTGCAGTGAATATGGGTGGGTGTGCATACGTCTGTTCATGTCCTGGCCCTCACTTCTTTAGGATATGCACCTAGTAATGGGATTGCTCAATCAAATGGTATTTCTATTTCCAACTTTTTAAGGAATTGCCATACTGTTTTCCCCAGTAGTTCTATCATTTTACTGTCCCACCAG